ACACACACACACACACACACACAGAGAGAGAGAGAGAGAGAGAGAGAGAGCTCTCTATCCTCTATCCAAGAGGCCTAAACCTTCATCAGTTTTTACTGCTCAACCAAATACAGGTTATAGCCCCCCATCATCACAAGGAAACAAACAGGCCTCAAAAACATATTATGACACATATGATCAAATCATTATAATACACAAAGAGGCCTTATCAGAGTTCAAGGAGACATTCAAGCCAGGCAAAAGACACCCAGGGTGGGAAGCAGGACCAGTGAGGGGTCTGGGGCGATTTTCAAAAGCCAGACGAAGAGGCCTTGGAAAGGATTAAGGGATGGGGCGGTCACCTCTCCACAGTGAGTCCAGCAGCATCTCTCTGTTCTCTGCTGGTACAGGGCCATTAAAACGCTACCTCCCTGCCCTGCTTCTTTCCCCCTTTAAATTCCTTAGATCTGCTGGCAACATGACAAGGCAGCCCAAGGAGCAGAGGGCCTGATGACAAGATTGCAGCACGCCATCACTTCCCATCAAGCCTTAGAGCCAGGCAATTGGAAGTGGAACATGAACTAGGCTTTGAAAGGCAAAAGGCAGAGAGAGCGAGAGAGAGAGCTTCCTCCCAACAGGGGGGGAATCGGTGTGTTGTCGCATAGCTCCATGCCTTGATTTATGATAAAAAATTTAAAGGAAATCATTTATATTTCAAAGGGCCTAAATAGCTGCATGAAAGTTTTATCTAAAGTAGCACTGTATTTACAGACGGCCCTACCATGCTAGAGGTAATTAATAGATGGATAAATGGCAGGCCTTTGTCTTTTTGCTTAACCCTCCTGCTATTTGGAACTTGCGAGTTAAAGTAAATAAATAAAAGGGGAAATGTAGGATTGCATACAAGAGCCCTTAGCAATGGGTTTCTCCTGCTCAGCCAGCCGCTGCCAGCTATTCAGATAATGAAACTGACACTTGATCTTCAGTTTCATGCACAAGGACTTAAAATGTCCCTTTAACTAAGATTACTGGGGCTGGGGCATAAGATGAGATGCCATTTTAATAAAGCATATTTTATAGGGGTCTCAAAAACAAGGCACTGTTTTAAAGACACATTCCAGATAAACACTGAAGGCTCAGATATGATATTCACTTGGAACAAATTCTCTTGTCAGTCACTCTTTGTTTCTGATAAGAATTCCACCCAAGTGCTTCCTGCTTCCCTGAAATGAATGAATGAATTTATGAATTTTGGCTTGACTGATTTTCTTTTTAGGCATGGACTGCTCCATCTAACTGAGCTGACTCTTTATTGCATGGGGTTTAAAAAAATCAAATCAAATCAAACCTTTCTGGCTCCGTCTGGTTTGTCTAAACCCCACAAACAGAAAAGTTCAAAACCATAAACAGGAAGAAGTTAGACCCAGATGGCTGGCCATCAAGCAACTCTGTTCACATGAATAAAAGGAAAGCTGCAAACCAACTTGAGAGATCATTCTCCTCCCAGTAAATTATTGATGGTCTTTCTGGAGGGAGGAGATGGAGAAGGAGGAGGAAATAAACAACACCCTGACAATGCTCCAGTGAACTCACTCCAAACACAAAATTATATGAAAAGTTTATGGATCTTTTCACGTGAATCATTTTATTATCTGACCCAGTTCAGAGATTAGGAGGAAACAGGCAGTTGTATAATGGAAGACTCTCTTTACAGTTAAACTTTACAACTAAGGAAACAACAAAACGTGGGACCCAGAATATTTTGCCTCATAGTTCAAAGTGTATAGCATTGACATGATTTCTCTTTCCATGTTTCAGGCACACATTATACATCCTGTTCAAGCAATCAGATGCATTAAATCACCTTAGTTGTTTTGCCTGACCCAATATCCTATTGCTCTTGATGTGCTCTAGGGGCCAGTTTGGTTCCTAAACTGGGTACTTTGGTACTGTTGCAGGTAACTGAATATCTGAAACATCAGATATTCACTTGAGCCAGCTATTCATGCTGGTCCTACCTGGGCCAGCAAAAAAGCCAAAGGAAAATTTATATGCCAAATCCCATATAAGGGGTCAGAGTGAGTCTAAGCTGAAGGGCCAGGCGGAACAGTTTTGTCTTGCAGGCCCTGCGGAAAGATGTCAAATCCTGCAGGGCCCTAGTCTCTTGTGGCAGAGCATTCCACCAAGTTGGGGCCAGTGCTGAAAAGGCCCTGGCCCTAGCTGAAACCAATCTAAACCTCCTTGAGGCTCGGTACCTCCAAAATGTTGTTATTTATAGACCTTAAGGTCCTCTGTGGGGCATACCAGGAGAGGCGGCCCTATCTTTCCTAACCTAAAGAATTTTACTTCACCTTGCCACCTTACAGATTCTCTGCAACCAGCTGCATGAGTAGAATTTTCAAGAAGATAAAATTTCATTATGAACTTTGGATCAATTGGTTTGCTGGTGGTGTGGTGCACTTGGGTAGGTTTGCTGAGAGTAATTTCAAAAGATTTCAATGAGGCTTACTTCCAAGCAAGTATGCATAGGGTTGCAGCCTAAAAAAACACTTTCCACAAATGTTTATGTTTCTGGTGCCTTCATATATACAGGGTGATTCATAATGAAGTATACAGTCAACGCACTATAAAAAAGAAGAATGTAATATGTCTTATGTTACCTGTAACAGAATTGTAGGGGAGTGTTTAAAGTTTTTTTAGAAACAGTCACAGATGTTCTATGTGTGCACCCTTTGTCACACAACACATATCGAACCCATAATCCATTTCTGCCCAAATGCAACTCATTCTCCACGTTGATTTTCCTGGGCTTCATCGAATGGCTGTGCAAACACTATCAACTTCTTCCAATACACATGGTCATCCAGGACTTCTAAGTTTGCACCACCCGTAGTTTCAAATTTTTTATGCCAATCGTAGATACATTTTCTGCTTAGAGTTTTTTTCCCAAACTACTTCTACAGCCCTGCCGCTTGTGCCAGAGAGAGTGGGAGGTAAGGAGGCAGGAAATAAACTGCCAGGCAGTGGACGTGACACAGGATCTAGTGGATCCCAGGCATTCCAGGTGGTGGGGGCTGAGGGGTCTTCAGCCCCCCCATTTTTCAAGCAGGGGGCTGGGCTCCCCCAAAACCCTGTGGCCCGCTCTGCCTCCTCTCCACCAATATCACAAGGGGAGGAGGAGGCAGAGTGTAGAGCCCAGCTCTGTGCCCCCCACTCCCCACCCAGTGTATGAGCACCTGGACACCTGTGTGTCCTGACCTGGCGAGCGAGTCAGCGCACTAGGTGGGGGCAGGATGCATCACATGATGTGTAATGTGATGCGTCACCTGATGCGTCCCTGCAATGTGGGGGGCAAGTCGGCACCCTTGGTGGATCCTGTGCCAGTCCGGCCTTGCCTCTCCCTGTCTCCAATGTGCCCTGTTTAGGGGAGTTCTACTGGCTACTGCTGGTGAGGAAAGTCGCCATTGGTAGCTTCCTCCCACCTACTTCTTGGGCAGGCACATTGGAGTGCTTCTCCATAGTGGGGCTTCCCTACCAGTGGCAAAGGCATACCTCCACTCCATCCAAAACTTGTTCAGCTGGATGTATTAGGAGTTGGATTACTCTGTGAGTTACCCATTCAAGGGTGAAAACCCTATTCAGAAGCACATCCAACCACCTTGGATTCTCCTTCCTGGGATATTTTCCTGAATATTCTGAATTGACACCTTCAGGGCTCAGCTTAGCCATGGGATATCTTGCGTTACCACTGGAGTACCTTACTTCTGGTGTGTCTTCCAGATCATGTGGGGGTTGGTCCTGAAAAAAGCACCTGCAAAGGTGTTACATAATTAATGGGTGCCCCCTTAGTATCCATTTAGTATCTGTTTCATGCTCTGAATAACCCTTCAGTATGCCTACTAATTGCATTTTTACTTTTTCCCTGATTTCCCCTGCCCCAGTTTCCCAGGAAAGATATTCAGGTTGAATTATAATGTGACTGTTTGCTGGTAGATGTGGCTTTTCATAAGCATTCCCTAAGTTCCATCCACAGGACTCTGCCGTTTGTCTAACTTTTCCTTCTCCTGGACTGCGAAGTTTCGCCATGTGTGGGCAGCTTGGCCAGGTATCCCCTGTAGCTTAGCAACTTTCCTCTTGCTTTGTTAAACTAGGCTGTTCAATCTCCTTAATGAATAAGAGAATCAAGCCAGGTAATTGATGCTTGGCTATTTAGCTGATGAATAATTGACCGTCTGGGGTAACACTAGACATTTCCTCGATCAGATTGGACAATGGAAGAGCCATGTCATCTCCTGTGCGGAGCTTCTCTCTAGTGTCAATGAAAGTGCTTTTCAAATACAGTGGTAAAAGACATTGCAATGGCTTAAAAAAAAGCCACTAGCTATTTCTTGGGGAGAAGAATAATTTTTGGAGGCGACTTAGGTCATTTCTTATATTTATGTATACCTAAACCAAGGACATTAATGTTGCACCTTGCTTTGTATTTGCACTGTATTTAAGAGTACGGTGCACAGGGCGGGTTTTGTTTTGATCGTGTTTCTGGTCTGTTCACTGCAATAAATTGATGGTGATGATGATAAAAATATGAGAAAGGCAGTCAAAAGAAAATAATACTGTAAGGTTAAGCAGAATGGATAAAACCAGCTAGATTAAAACCAATTTACACTACATGCTGGAATGCCCAGGCCAACAAAAACAACAACACTAGATGCTGGAAAGTTGGTGCAGGGCAAATTTCCCATAGGAAACATTCTATTTTCTCACAGATTGGTGGACATTTTGCTGATTTGTCAGTAACATTCCAAGCCCATTTTTTCAGTAAGAATGAATTAAATATATCTGGCAGGAAACAATATATATAGTCCAATGACTTAAAAAAAGAAAAAACCAACAAGAAGAAAAATGTGGCACATGTAGTTGAATCAAAGATCCCCGAAAGAATCTTGTTGATACGACAAAAGTTTCCAGTAAATACCCAACTTTGTCAGCATTATTGATTGGTTCTGGCAATACACGTTCATGCTTCATATTATTCAACTGTTGCTGTTGAAACAGATCAATGGGCAGTGTGAGCAGCAGTAAGTTTTCACCAGCCGTTGAACACTATTTTTTGTTTTCCCTTTCTCCGTGATGCAGCGAGCCTGTAATTCACTTTGCTGTGAATGACAAAATATTTATTCAAATTCCACTGTGGTTTGCTGCTTTTACTGCAACTCATTGGCTGGAATCTTATTCGCCTTTGGCTTTGTGTAGACATTTTATTTTCAACTTGTTAATCAGATATAATGTAGAAAGCACCTTTTTTCAAATCACTGAGACTATACTGAAATAGAGACTTGTGTCCAATAAAGGATCATAAACATAAAATGGTTTCTTTTAATCTTCTAACAAAATGTTTTATTAATGATTTTGTTTTTAATTGAATGTTTCACCCAAACCTAATCTGTAGAGGGGTGTGGACTGCTGACAACTATCAGGAACAACCAAAGAAAGGAAGAGATTCTTCCAAACGAAAAAGAAGTGTTGTACTTCCTATTCCCTGGCTTGGATCCCAAGTGGCTTCTGTCTTCTTGGGAGGAGGGCTGAAACAGAGGTCTGAAACACAACAACTGGAGTCGAATATCATCCAAAGGGCCACAGGTTTCCCATTCTTGCTTTCCTGCCTGTACTCAACCATGCTTGTGATGAATGGGTCCTTTGCAACAGGCGCGCCGAGTTGCGCCCAACATTTTTGGGGTGTGTGTGTGTGTGTGTGTCACATGTGCATGACGTCACACGCATGACCCCCCCCAACACCCACCGGGTGCATTTTCTGGAGGGAGCGACCAGGCGCCCCCTCCCTCCAACAAGCTCTCATCGAAGCCTGGCTTTAGCGTGTGAGGGAACTTCCTCAGAGTGAAGAGCTGGCGGCAGAGAGCTGCTGCCCTTCTTCTCTACTGGGCTGCAAGCACACAGCTCCTCCGCAGCAGAAAGAGGCTGCTGGCTGGGGCAGAGAGAGGCTGCGGTGTGCCTAGCTGCGGCTGCTCTGTCCCCGGGTCAGGCCTGACCCAAGGGGCGGAGACAGGCTGCGGCGCGCAAGGGATTGGGCGCACGGATTGGTTCACCCTCGCGCGTCCCCCCCGGCTGCCGAGCACTCAACATTGGGGAGGCTGAGCTCCGTGCCCCAAAATATTGAGGTGGCTGAAGCCCCCTCCGCCCCATATACCGGTACTCGGCGTCGCTGCTCTGCAATGTTGCTGTGAGTACAGAGGGCTTCTCCACTCTTTCCATGCTTTAAAGCTCTGCGTCCAAGCACACTTTTTTTTGCTCCAGAGCTGTGGAAACTTGCACTTTAAAGCTCAATCGGAGCAAACAGCAATCCACGGAAAACCCGAGTCGATGTTTGCTCAGACTGAGCGCTAAAGAGCGGGTCTTGTGGAAAAGGCTCTGGAGCAAACAACAAATTTGTTTTTCTGAGATGGTGCTTTTAAGCGCAGACCTGTGCCTGGAAAGAGCAAGGCAAAAGATAAGGGCATCTAAGCCATAAGTGCCAATTTTGGCATCACATTACCAAATATTCCAAAGGGGTATCTTGTGATAGGGAGAGCTGCAGCATATGGTTGTGGCATATTTAGATAGCCGTTTTGCTCCAGAAGCCTGGCAAATCTGGGTACTTAAAAAAAGTGACAACCCACAAGCAGACTACATGAATCCTCCGCATGTTGTCACTTGCCCTTCCTGACCCACATTCGCTAGAAACCAATATCAAAACAGCCGCGTATTGGACCTGCAACTCAGAAACATGACTAGCATTAGTGTTTGGATTTGCCTGCTTCTTAGCATCAGTGCTCACTGAAACCTTCATTAAACTTTGAAGGCGAAACGTAACAAACAAAGTGGGAGGACAAAAACCCCAACATGTCACCTGAAATTAGAACAATCTTTTTCCGGTTGCATTTCCCCCCAAGTTTGTACAGTAATTAATTGTAAAAGCAAAACAGAATAGTGGTGTGCTTGACTTTGGGGAAGAATAGGCAGTTGCACATTGGCCAAAAAGACGTGCGTGGTTCATCACATGCTTGCTGAAATCCCATGTACGGTGTCAGAGCTGACAAGCCATGGCTTCCTGTGCCATTTTAACTATGTTTTATTAAGGAGTGGGACCCGCTGGGCCTTGTAGCTGGCACGGCTTCCTTCTCACATACCAGCTGAATTCCCACCACTGCCTCAGACACTCTCTGGCTGGATGCATTACATGGTATTTTTAGAAGCCCTGCGTGCCATCTTCTGTCACATGTCTCTCGAGATTTTTCCACTGTTTTTCACCCATCAAAGATATATCCTGTTGTTTTGTGCGGGTTTCAGCACTTGGGGAAGGAAGCAGGGAGGTCTTAGAACATGCTGCATTGTTAAACAGTGCAGCTGAAATGAAACAAGATGTGCACATGTTACATGTTATGACAGAAAATATCTAGGGGTGGCTTTCAGCCGCCTGCTCCCTGCAACAAAATGCCCAAGAAATTCAACACCTCAAGCCATAGTGGTCTGTTTGCTTGCTCCCAGTTTTGGCCTCAACGTTCAATTCTACTCCTCCTGCATCACGCAACCTTCTCTGACAACAGGTTTGTACTGAGCATGTGCAGGGGACACCCTTATGACTGTATAACATTGGCCACAAAAATGCCTTTTAATAAAAACTGTAAGCATGTTCTACAACTCATGGATTATGGCACATTACTAGAGATGCTCTCATGGGCTTCAGAAAACAATTTCCCCAAAGGCAAACATAGAAATCATTCCCCCCAAACCACCCCAGCAAAGTCTATGGTAGGAAAACATACATCACTTGACAACTTCTCGAGATCATTCACCACAGCTTTAATTCATACAAAAACAAGCCATTTCTCATAGTTTCCAGTGGTAGCTGGTGCCCATTGGGCTGGTGGAGTGGAATCAGGGCCACCAACAGGAGCCAGAGCCAGAGCCAGACCCAATGACAGGTGAAGCCAACTCATTCAAGGTGTGCCCCAAGCCTCCACCCTACTAAGTTCAGAAAGCGTTGCCAAGCCCTGGACCGGTTGCAAGAAGGCAGGCAGGTATGGGCTGGATGAGGGGTGTCCCATTCCATACCCTCCAACATTTCTCTGATGAAAATAGGGATGTCCTAAGGAAAAGAGGGACATTCTGGGATCAAATCAGAAACTGGGACGTCTTCTGTAAATCTGGGACTGTCCCTGAAAAATAGGGACAATTGGAGGGTCTGCCATCTGCCCTAATGGATCAGCTTCCACTAATCCTTTCTACCCCAAGTTAAGCATGAGCCTAAATTTAAGAATTTATCTCTCTTAGATTGCTGAGCTGCCTGTTGAATTATTTTCTAATGATAAGTCACAGAACCTAGTCCCCACCCACAATTTCTTATCATCACCCTTAAAAGAAATGAATATGTATATGGAGGGAGTGCGGGTGTAAGATTTAAATAATATATAATATATGACCGCAAAATGTATTATTTAAATATATACATCTCTTTCTGTGTGTGTCCTGTCTCTCTTTCACACCCACTCACACCCACACACCCTCCACAAAGATATACTTTTCTTCACAATAAACATTTTGAAAGCTGGAAAGTTCTGTGAAACTCCAAAGCTATGATGGTCTAATTAAGGCAGCATCTTTAAAACATGGCTATCACCTAAATACTAAACCATTTTGAATAAACTGCCATGCAAATGCAATCACAGTGAGCT